TTCTTCTGGTTAAATTGAGTTGTGTTGTTGCGCATGCGTCGTGGTGCACTCATGAATGTGAGGTGGAGATTTGCTCACTTTAATAACTCCGTAAACTCAATCGCTTTATGGGCCAAGCTTAAAGAACAAGCTCAAAAACACTTCTAGCCAAATAAGTGGACATGACAACACTGAAAGAGTGGTTCTGTGAAGCAGCAAAACACCACACCTCCACCGACTGTGCTTCAGACTGAACATAACAAAAAGAGGACTCACTCCCACTCCCTAAACTCAACTTAGAGGACTCACTCCGACTCCCTAAACTCAACTTAGAGGACTCACTCCCACTCACTAAACTCAACTTAGAGGACTCACTCCCACTCCCTAAACTCAATTTAGAGGACTCACTCCCACTCACTAAACTCAACTTAGAGGACTCACTCCCACTCCCTAAACTCAACTTAGAGGACTCACTCCCACTCACTAAACTCAACTTAGAGGACTCACTCCCACTCCCTAAACTCAACTTAGAGGACTCACTCCCACTCCCTAAACTCAACTTAGAGGACTCACTCCCACTCACTAAACTCAACTTAGAGGACTCACTCCCACTCCCTAAACTCAACTTAGAGGACTCACTCCCACTCACTAAACTCAACTTAGAGGACTCACTCCCACTCACTAAAATCAATTTAGAGGACTCACTCCCACTCACTAAACTCAACTTAGAGGACTCACTCCCACTTACTAAACTCAACTTAGAGGACTCACTCCCACTCCCTAAACTCAACTTAGAGGACTCACTCCCACTCACTAAACTCAACTTAGAGGACTCACTCCCACTCACTAAACTCAACTTAGAGGACTCACTCCCACTCACTAATCTCAACTTAGAGGACTCATTCCCACTCCACTCCCTAAACTCAACTTAGAGGACTCACTCCCACTCACTAAACTCAATTTAGAGGACTCACTCCCTAAACTCAATTTAGAGGACTCACTCCCTAAACTCAACTTAGAGGACTCACTCCCACTCACTAAACTCAACTTAGAGGACTCACTCCCACTCACTAAACTCAACTTAGAGGACTCACTCCCACTCCCTAAACTCAACTTAGAGGACTCACTCCCACTCACTAAACTCAACTTAGAGGACTCACTCCCACTCCCTAAACTCAACTTAGAGGACTCACTCCCACTCCCTAAACTCAACTTAGAGGACTCACTCCCACTCCACTCCCTAAACTCAACTTAGAGGACTCACTCCCACTCACTAAACTCAATTTAGAGGACTCACTCCCTAAACTCAATTTAGAGGACTCACTCCCTAAACTCAACTTAGAGGACTCACTCCCACTCCCTAAACTCAACTTAGAGGACTCACTCCCACTCCCTAAACTCAATTTAGAGGACTCACTCCCACTCCCTAAACTCAACTTAGAGGACTCACTCCCACTCCCTAAACTCAACTTAGAGGACTCACTCCCACTCCCTAAACTCAACTTAGAGGACTCACTCCCACTCCCTAAACTCAATTTAGAGGACTCACTCCCACTCCCTAAACTCAATTTAGAGGACTCACTCCCACTCCCTAAACTCAACTTAGAGGACTCACTCCCACTCCCTAAACTCAACTTAGAGGACTCACTCCCACTCCCTAAACTCAACTTAGAGGACTCACTCCCACTCCCGCTTACACAGATACAAACGGGAGTGTTTGAAAGCAGGACCGGTCCGCTGATAGACGCCTGCTTGTGCTTTCAAACGCTCATGCTTCCAAAACACTCTCAAACACTTCTGTGCACTGATCATTGTACCCAATCACAGACATATTTGATGAGCTTGTGAACACAATGGCCAATCAGAGACGTTTATGATTCTGCTCAACAGCGCTCAAAGAGTCACATTTTAAAAATTTCGGTACGGACTTGGTACCTAAGTCGGTACTTATTGACAACTGTACTGCGGGAGGAAAAAGGCTGGTTGTGATTCTGCACTGGAAGCTTTTGTCACTAAGATAAATTATTTGTGTGTAAGAATACTTTGCAATGAATCTAATTGTAGATTACATGCAAACTCACGGTTATGGTAAGGGGCGGGAAATTTCCCAAACATGCTTGAAGCGCTTGACAAATCACAACACACTGCTTCAGCCGACCAATCAGAGCACAGTGTGCTTTTCAGAAGGAGGGGCTTCATAGAGACAGGAACTAAACAGAGCGTTACTGACAGACTGGGAAGAGAGGAGCCGCAACAGTGGAGAATATGGGGAAAATAATCAACCTGTTCTAGTAGAGCCCCAAAACATCAAGACTTTGAAAAAGGGCAGAATATGGCCTCTAATAATAAACCTATTAACTAATAAAATATTACAGCACTGTGACATCACAGACAATCAAAATAAATTTCAAACAGGTGATGGATACTATTTTCTAAATGTAAAGAAGCATGTGATACTAGATATTGTATCTGACATGCACCTCATTTCTTATCACAGTTGTATCATAACACCATAATGATCTAACCTTAAAGGTTTCTGGTCATTCATGTATAACTAACAAAAATAGCCTTGTTCAAGTCACATTACAAAAAAACAAAAAACAAATTCAGGTCAAGATTCTGGGAAAAAAAACATCAAGGCCTTGTTCTAGTCATAAACAACAAAGTCCTTCAGTGACGGTAGCCATTAAAAAGAAGCACATTTTAACCCAACGTAGGAATACTTCAGCATTTCAGTTCAGAAATACCTGCAGGACGACCTTGAGCCGACACAAAAGACAAACTCGTATTCCACTCACTTAAAAACATCTTGTTATAAACGTTAAAAGTAATTAACAAAAGGTATGCAATAAAAACATAACTTCTTTCTTGATACTGTTAAACATTTGGTGAACATTGTGAACCTGCTTGCAAAGTGAAGTCTAAATATATAGTGTATGAGTAAGCAAGCAACAGCAAGAGAAACTAGTTCCAAGCATATCAGAGCAGTTAGTGAGAATTTACTGTAGGCAAACTGAGTGAACACAGTTTCACCAACAGAGGAACAGAAGAGTGTGACCGTTTTACAAGATAGTTTGTTATGCTGCCATCAAGTCCCTGTTTAAGTCGGGAGACTGTAATTAGGGTGTGATGAGCATTAAAGTGACTTAGATTAAAATAAAATGCACAGGTTGGGCAATTTGAAGCTTTTAACACTAGCACAATGAAATAAAGGATAGGGAAAAGATTTACATTAGGTGTGTAGTTTATCATTCTCGTGCTGTCTCAGAGAATGATGGGAAATGTAGTTATGTCACCTAAGCCTACTGGGCAGTGTTGGGAAAAGTTCACTTCTACATTAACTATCTCAAAGTTCAGTTCACAAATTTTCACTAAAAATCTAGGTCAGTTCATAGTTCATACTTCACAATTTTGAACTAAGTTCACAGTTCCACAAATGAACTAGTTCATAGTTATTTTTTCCCATATGTTGTTGCGAGCTATTATTTTTCAAAATTATTGCCACAGCCCATATAGAACCACAGACAGCAATTATTCTATCAGTTTTAACACTGAAGCTATGCGTCAGATTTTATCTTCATATCCAATTTTGAATCCTTATCCAACCAGGCAGAGCCGATCCTCCCTATACGCACACTACGCAAGTTGCGTAGGGCCCCGCAAATAACTCAAGGCTCCGCCTCCCCCTCGTGTCAAAGCGCGTCAATCAAAGTTTACAACATCGATGAGATAATTAAGCGGAACTATCCTTCTGGTCACGAAAAGAGAGACTGGGAGAAAAACACCATGTGAGTGATTTGAAAGCACGTGTCTATACCACAAATTTAATTTCTCGTGCCATTTATATGCCAAAAATAGTTTTTGCCTGCATATGATAGGCAGACGCAGTTTTCACGTGCATATGATATTTACTTTCCAGTAAAACATCTATGGGGACCAGTTACCAGTACAATATGGGCGTGATGGCACTCCTCATTAGGCGCTCATACTTTTAAAACAACGATTATCTAGTCTCCAAGTCAGTTTAGTTACAACTCTGCAATAAAGCAAGATGGAAAGAAATGTATTGACATTTACTATATTGCATTTCAAATGTTGATTGGCTGGACATACTGGTCAATATGGATGCAGATCCCTCAGTAAATAATAACCATCTCAATTATTGCTTTTATCATTTAAAACACAGTGACATGCAATGGCAAGCCATTTTAGCTTTTATTAATTCACAGGATGCATTTTTGATATCAATAATTAAATTTGTACTATTTAAAATGTGAATTATTGATATTCATATAAAATATGTCTATTTCTGATATCAGGAATTACATTTTCATTAGTACTCACTAAACGAGGGAGGATTGTAGTGGGAGAACTGGGGTGTCAGGTGTGACTGTGTGGCAATGGCAAATGGTTTACATGGGTCTGGATCGGCTCTGCAACCAGGGTTTACTGTGGCATTGAGGGGACAGCATTTCCCCATTGTTGCTTTAACGCTTTGTTGCTGTCCATTCAGTCCACACTAGTAGCAGCTGCAGCTTTCACCCCTGCAGTATATTCTCAAAAACATGAGGAAAATGTGCTGCTTGAATGGTTTTTTAATGAGAAATTATTAAAAGAAAAACAAGACAGTAGTCCTTAAGGTGCAAATGTTTTTCAATTTTAATAATTTTCCATTTCAGTACAAACTAAAAAGGATGCTGCCGTCGCCTCCATGCTGGGTTTTGTTTTGATGACGCATGCGGCGGTGTGTGACACTGGTGGCTGGTGTTGCCAGATTGGGTGTTTTTTCCGCTACATATTAAGGCCTGTTTACTGTGTTTTAGCCGGGTTTCGTCTGGAAGTCTCTATAAAAATCTGGCACCCTATTAAAGTTAAACTGAGAGAGAGTGCCGTTCACAGACACCAGAATGAACAGTAACGCAGTAATACAGTACGTTCAGTTCACGTTTGCCCAAAATATGAACGCGTTCAGGCTGCTACTGGGTTTTCATGAATAAGGCCCATTGACTGGGATGGCATACCTCTTTCGGTAAAGACGTTAGTCGATTCCTATCACAGTTGAAGTTGGACAGTTTCTTTAGTTTTCCAATACTTCTTGGCAAATTCTGAGAGACAAAAAAAACACAGACATTCAGAAATTACTTTCAGGGGAAAATGCCTACACTGCAGAAAATGCTTTTCTTAATAAGTATTTTTGTCTTGTTTCCAGTCCAAATATATAAAAATTCTTAAATCAAGATGCATTTACTAGATTAGTGAAATACCAGAAGATATTCTGTCTTGTTTTCTGGGTAAATAAATCAAAATTAACCGAGTTGTTGCTTTAAAAAAGCAAAATTATCTGCCAATGACGTTAGAAAAATCTTAATCTTAATTCAAACAGAAACAAGATTATGTTTCTTACCCCATTGGCAGATAATTGTGCTTGGTTTAAGTAAAAAGTCACTTAATTTAGATTTATTTTATTTTTTTCCCAGAAAACAAGACATAATATCTTATGGGATTTTACTACTTTAGTAAATGCATCTTGATTCAAGAATTTTTAGATACTTGGACTAGAAACAAGACAAAAATACTGCATTTTTTCACAGTGTATGATTACAATTCAACAATAATTAACTCTGCATATCAAAGTTCTTCCCACCATTTAAAATATTCACTTTAACTCCATTAATTTTCAATGGGACAGGCGTGCCAAGCTTGTTCACCAGAATCCTTATAAATCTTTTCATTGCTGCTGCTTGTCATTGATAATTCAGAGTTTATTGTATTCATAACCAATATAACAGCATTTGGGCTTATATCTGGAAAATAAGACGGGCTATTTTGATGATATTGATATTGATGATTTTACTAATTTTATTGTCAACGGGACATGATTTGAAAATGCTTAACGTGGCTTAATGCATTAATATTGACATCAATATCTGAGGACCAAATGGAGTACACGACTTATTAATAAAGCATGCTATGTGCAGACGAGCTAAAATGGCACATTGAGGGTTTTTCTCCCAGAGGAAACTATAAAAACCGCTTGATTTTGACTGTGATATTGCCTGTATTTACAGTAGTCAACATTTGAAGTGGATCAAAAAAGTTCAAGACGAGAACGGGTGATGTTCAAAATTCATGTTTAACTTTGATGACAGGTTTTGATCCACTTCAAATGTTGACTACTGTAGTTTACAACATCAATAATGTGTAGCAAGGCTATACTGAATTTGGTCTTAATGCATTAAGCCACGCTAATCACTTATTTCTATAGGAGGAAAACTAATAACGTGAAACTTTTAAATATTGCGTTCATATTCTGGGCTCTTAAGCTATTAATATTAAGCCATTTCTTTATGATGTTTTCCTGAGGTGAAACGAGCAGCGTGTTGCAGTACAGAGGATGAGGAGGGCTGAATAAAGTATGTGCGTGTAATGCATTATTAAGTAATTAAGTGCTGTAATTGAATTACACCTTTCCCTTGAAAATTAAATTAAGGGATTACTCTTAATTTTCTGTCATTTAATTACAGTCACTTCTGATGTAACTGCATTAAAAACTGTATAGACTATTGAATAATTCTCTATAAACAATAAAACAATAATGGATTTAACTTCAAAGTTTACCATCTAATAAATGTACACTTCTCCCTTTAAATACTTTGGTCAGTTAAAGAATAATTATTTGAAATAATTAAAAAGAGCATTTTCATGTCTATCCTTGTGTTGTTCAACTGGTCGAGGTTGATGATATGAGATTTAGAAAGCACTTAGTAATGCAGTACTTTTCAGAGAGTGTAATTAATACAGTAATCTAATTATTCTGCTGAAGATGTAATTAGTAGCTAGTAATAATTACTTAACCAAGAGTAACTTACCCAACACTGGAAATATTAGAGCGTTAACTCATTTTTACCCATGAACATTTTCTTTAAAAAAAAGTTTCTCGGTTCCATTTACTTCTTTTTCAGCAGAAAAAACAAATGACCAAAGCTTGTTTACGCCACAGAATAAAACATTTTAAACGATGATTGCGACTTTTTATCTCACAATTGCGAGTTATAAGGTCAGAATTGTGTGATATAAACTCACAATTGCGAGTTATAAGAATGAATGCTAAGGAAAAAAAGACTTGACTTTATCACATGCAATTTATATCACTCAGCTCTGAGATAAAAAATCTGAATTGTGAAATAAAAAGTCGCAATTACCCATTTAATTTTTTGTTCTGTGGCGGAAACAAGCTTCCATAGGGAACATACATATAAAGTAAATGTAAAAAAAAATTTAATTTAAATAAACGCAAAATATTAGAGTAAAACTTAACACATTAATCTGACTGACTTTCCTATTACTCTGATTTCCCTCGTTAACTGCTCAGATTGCAGAAGACGACTCTTTTCCTCACAATTCTGACTTTATATCTCGCAATTCTGACTTTACATCTCGCAATTCTGACTTTACATCTCGCAATTCTGACTTTACATCTCGCAATAGCGACTTTATATCTCGCAATAGCGACTTTATATCTCGCAATAGCGACTTTATATCTCGCAATAGCGACTTTATATCACGCAATTCTGAGATAAAAAGTCGCAATTACCTTTTTTATTTTTTATTCTGTAGCGGAAACAAGCTTCCATAAGGACCCTACATAAATTAAAATTAAAATAAAATTAAAATAAACAAATTAAATTAAGTTGAATTAAATTAAAATAAAATTGAATTAAAATAAACTTCAATATTAGAGGAGTAATAGGAGAGGGGGTCAGGAGCGTAACTCACCACCAGCTGGTTCTCCGTCAGCACCAGTTCTGTCAGGCTTTCACAGTTACCGATGCTCTCCGGCAGCTGAAGCAAGCGGTTCTGATCTGCTTTCAAAATCGAGAGCCGTCTTAATTTTCCTAAGGGAAAACATATTTCACAGTATGAATACTGCTTAAAAAATCAATCCTCACACATAACTAATGTATGGAAGCTGGAGCGAGTGCAGATGTGTGTGTGAACTGGAGCGAGTGAAGATGTGTGTGTGAACTGGAGCGAGTGCAGATGTGTGTGTGAACTGGAGCGAGTGCAGATGAGTGTGTGAACTGGAGCGAGTGCAGATGTGTGTGTGAACTGGAGCGAGTGTAGATGAGTGTGTGAACTGGAGCGAGTGTAGATGAGTGTGTGAACTGGAGCGAGTGTAGATGTGTGTGTGAACTGGAGCGAGTGTAGATGTGTGTGTGAACTGGAGCGAGTGAAGATGTGTGTGTGAACTGGAGCGAGTGCAGATGTGTGTGTGAACTGGAGCGAGTGCAGATGTGTGTGTGTGAACTGGAGCGAGTGCAGATGTGTGTGTGTGAACTGGAGCGAGTGCAGATGTGTGTGTGAACTGGAGCGAGTGCAGATGAGTGTGTGAACTGGAGCGAGTGTAGATGAGTGTGTGAACTGGAGCGAGTGTAGATGTGTGCGTGAACTGGAGCGAGTGCAGATGTGTGCGTGAACTGGAGCGAGTGAAGATGTGTGTGTGAACTGGAGCGAGTGTAGATGAGTGTGTGAACTGGAGCGAGTGTAGATGTGTGTGTGAACTGGAGCGAGTGCAGATGTGTGTGTGAACTGGAGCGAGTGCAGATGAGTGTGTGAACTGGAGCGAGTGCAGATGTGTGTGTGAACTGGAGCGAGTTCAGATGTGTGTGTGAACTGGAGCGAGTGCAGATGTGTGTGTGAACTGGAGCGAGTGAAGATGTGTGTGTGAACTGGAGCGAGTGAAGATGTGTGTGTGAACTGGAGCGAGTGTAGATGTGTGTGTGAACTGGAGCGAGTGCAGATGTGTGTGTGAACTGGAGCGAGTGCAGATGTGTGTGTGTGAACTGGAGCGAGTGCAGATGTGTGTGTGAACTGGAGCGAGTGCAGATGAGTGTGTGAACTGGAGCGAGTGTAGATGAGTGTGTGAACTGGAGCGAGTGTAGATGTGTGTGTGAACTGGAGCGAGTGCAGATGTGTGTGTGAACTGGAGCGAGTGTAGATGTGTGTGTGAACTGGAGCGAGTGCAGATGTGTGTGTGAACTGGAGCGAGTGTAGATGAGTGTGTGAACTGGAGCGAGTGTAGATGTGTGTGTGAACTGAACTGGAGCGAGTGCATATGTGTGAACTGGAGCGAGTGCAGATGTGTGTGAGAACTGGAGCGAGTGCAGATGTGTGTGTTAACTGGAGCGAGTGCAGATGTGTGTGTGAACTGGAGCGAGTGTAGATGTGTGTGTGAACTGGAGTGAGTGCAGATGTGTGTGTGAACTGGAGCGAGTGCAGATGTGTGTGTGAACTGGAGCGAGTGCAGATGAGTGTGTGAACTGGAGCGAGTGTAGATGAGTGTGTGAACTGGAGCGAGTGCAGATGTGTGTGTGAACTGGAGCGAGTGCAGATGTGTGTGTGAACTGGAGCGAGTGCAGATGTGTGTGTGAACTGGAGCGAGTGTAGATGAGTGTGTGAACTGGAGCGAGTGCAGATGTGTGTGTGAACTGGAGCGAGTGTAGATGTGTGTGTGAACTGGAGCGAGTGCAGATGTGTGTGTGAACTGGAGCGAGTGCAGATGAGTGTGTGAACTGGAGCGAGTGTAGATGAGTGTGTGTGAACTGGAGCGAGTGTAGATGTGTGTGTGAACGTGTGTGTGAACTGGAGCGAGTGCAGATGTGTGTGTGAACTGGAGCGAGTGCAGATGTGTGTGTGAACTGGAGCGAGTGCAGATGTGTGTGTGAACTGGAGCGAGTGCAGATATGTGTGTGAACTGGAACGAGTGCAGATGAGTGTGTGAACTGGAGCGAGTGTAGATGAGTGTGTGTGAACTGGAGCGAGTGTAGATGTGTGTGTGAACGTGTGTGTGAACTGGAGCGAGTGCAGATGTGTGTGTGAACTGGAGCGAGTGCAGATGTGTGTGTGAACTGGAGCGAGTGTAGATGTGTGTGTGAACTGAACTGGAGCGAGTGCAGATGTGTGTGTGAACTGGAGCGAGTGCAGATGTGTGTGTGAACTGGAGCGAGTGCAGATGAGTGTGTGAACTGGAGCGAGTGTAGATGTGTGTGTGAACTGGAGCGAGTGCAGATGTGTGTGTGAACTGGAGCGAGTTCAGATGAGTGTGTGAACTGGAGCGAGTGTAGATGAGTGTGTGAACTGGAGCGAGTGTAGATGAGTGTGTGTGAACTGGAGCGAGTGTAGATGTGTGTGTGAACTGGAGCGAGTGTAGATGTGTGTGTGAACTGGAGCGAGTGCAGATGTGTGTGTGAACTGGAGCGAGTGCAGATGAGTGTGTGAACTGGAGCGAGTGTAGATGTGTGTGTGAACTGGAGCGAGTGCAGATGTGTGTGTGAACTGGAGCGAGTGCAGATGAGTGTGTGAACTGGAGCGAGTGTAGATGAGTGTGTGAACTGGAGCGAGTGTAGATGTGTGTGTGAACTGGAGCGAGTGCAGATGTGTGTGTGAACTGGAGCGAGTGCAGATGTGTGTGTGAACTGGAGCGAGTGCAGATGTGTGTGTGAACTGGAGCGAGTGCAGATGTGTGTGTGAACTGGAGCGAGTGCAGATGTGTGTGTGAACTGGAGCGAGTGCAGATGTGTGTGTGAACTGGAGCGAGTGCAGATGTGTGTGTGAATGGAGCGAGTGCAGATGTGTGTGTGAACTGGAGCGAGTGCAGATGTGTGAGCTGATATGAGTGTGTGAGCTGAGATGTGTGTGTGAACTGGAGCGAGTAGAGATGTGTGTGTGAGCTGATATGAGTGTGTAAGCTGAGATGTGTGTGTGAACTGGAGCGAGTGCAGATGTGTGTGTGTGAGCTGGAGTGACTGCAGATGTGTGTGTGAGCTGGAGTGACTGCAGATGTGTGTGTGAGCTGAGATGAGTGTGTGAGCTGAGATGAGTGTGTGAGCTGAGATGTGTGTGTGAACTGGAGCGAGTGCAGATGTGTGTGTGAGATGTGTGTGTGTGAGATGAGATGAGGTGTGTGTGTGTGTGTGTGTGTGCGCGCCTGTTTGTGTGTGTGTGTGTGTGTGTGTGTGTGTGTGTGTGTGTGTGTGTGTGTGTGTGTGTGTGTGTGAGATGAGATGTGTGTGTGAGATGTGTGTGTGTGTGAGCTGAGATGTGTGTGTGAGCTGAGATGTGTGTGTGAACTGGAGCGAGTGCAGATGTGTGTGTGAGATGTGTGTGTGTGAGATGAGGTGTGTGTGTGTGTGTGTGTGTGTGTGTGTGTGTGTGTGTGTGTGTGTGTGTGTGTGCGCGCCTGTTTGTGTGTGTGTGTGTGTGTGTGTGAGATGAGATGTGTGTGTGCGTGTGCGTGTGCGTGTGCGTGTGTGTGTGTGTGTGTGTGTGTGAGCTGACCGAGGCCCTCCGGCAGCAGGTCGATGAGGTTATGGGACACCAGCAGATCCGTGAGGCAGAGCAGATTCCCCATCTCATCCGGCAGATGCTCCAACTTATTCTCAGATACATCCAGACACGTAAGGCTTCTCATACTACCCAGCTCCTGAGGCACACACACACACGTAAACACACATGCAACCACAACGACACAAAAAAGCCTCTAGGTTCCTGAGGAAGTCGAGTATCTTGTTCTTGATAAATCGAGAAGAACTCAAATCAAGTGTGTATGAAGGAGCAGAGCAGATATCGCTTCATCAGACATACGTTTAGAAAATTAATGCAAACAAACTTTGGGTAACACTTTAAATAGATTTAGGGAATAGTAATAGTTATAAATAAGTGTAAATGGGGCTATAATTCATTATAAGCATGCAGTTCATAGAAAGTGTTCCCGAACTAGTAGTTTTTGAAGATGACATGAAGGTTTGAGGAACACTGTACCGCTGGGATCTCAGACAGCTGGTTCCCGTCCAGCCACAGGTCCTTCAGGCTGACCAGACAGCCTATCGTCTCCGGCTGCAAGACAACACGTTTGAGTTCAGATGAGCAACACCAGCACACACACACACTGATGTTCCCGACACACACACACTGATGTTCCCAGCACACACCAGAATGCAGATCAGCGCCAAACATTGGTGAAATGCATTCCAGTGCCGGAGCCTGAGAACACAGGGGTCACGCTACAGAAACCAAATCATTACAGGTAATGTGTGAATCTCAAGAGACCTGCCACAAAGATATTTCACATTGCTTAAATTTAGCATGAAGAAAAAATATTTTAGGAGCATTTTTATCGGTCACCATGAAATCAAAATGGTCAATTATTTTTTTATGCAATATTTCAGTGTTTATTACAATTGATTTGTCTACGCGCATCATTATTTTGTATGACTTTAAGCACATTTTCTCCAAATTCATATTCTTGTAATGTAAAAAAATGAATAAATCAATCAATATATATATATATATATATATATAAATATTAAATAATTAAATAAAATACTCATACATTATGGTAGTTTCACATCATTCCTTTATTCCAATTAAGAAAATATAATAAATACATATATATATATATATATATATATATATATATATATATATATATATATATATATATATATATATATATATATATATATAAAATATCATACAAGTATATTATAATATAAAATATAATAAATAAATATTTAATTAAAAAATAAATTAAATATAAAATATTTATACATTATAGTAGTATTATACATCATTCCTTTATTCCAATTAAATATATATATATATATATAAAATTAATTATTTATATATATATATATATATATATATATATATGTGTGTGTGTGTGAGTAATAAATCAATATAATATAAACAAAATTTGATATAAACATAAAATGTAATAAGTATTTTATCACATAAAATATAATAATAAATCAATATTTAATTAATAAATACATAAAATATAAAATATTTATACATTATGGTAGTATTTCACATCATTCCTTTATTAAATTTTTTATTTTTACTTTTAATTCCAGTAATTTTTCGTGTCATGAAATTAAAAGGGCCTCATTCATGAAACACGAGCAGAATAAATTGTTAAGCTGTTAGTAAGTCATTGTCATGAATGTGTTTATATTTTCAAAATGTCAGCTGGCAGTGTTGGGGTTAACGCAGTTTAAAATCAGATTACTTTTCACAAGTAATTCATGAAGTGTAACATGACTTTTGAAGAATGACTGTAGACTCCAGCTCGGATAAACTGGTTAATGTGAAGTTTGTTTTCTAGATTATATTTTTTAAAGCCTAATAAATGTTCACATTTATAGCTTTCAATTATACTGTAATGCTGAATGGCTATAATTAATGGCTAAAATTGAGGGGACAAAATCATAGAGACCTCAGTAGCTGTAATAGGATCAGTGATATTGGCCTTCCTTCATAATAAAGATGCCATTATACAAATATTTAAAATATAGGCTATTGCCTTTATTTTGTTTCTACACTAATTTTGGGGTTAAATGTGAAATTATTACAATATAAAAATAAATTAAAAACTTGAATGTTAGGTGTGATTAATCCTAATTAAAATCCTCCAGGGCCCACAAATTCTTTGGTTTAACAGCATCTTTTGCATATTTTTTATAAATTTTGATTTTATTTTGTCTTTTGGACTATATTTATATTTTATGTAAATTATCTTAGTGAGGACAGTAATGTACAAAATGCTTGTATTTTTTTGTTTTGTTTGATCCCTTTTATTTTGTTAGAATATTTAAGATTTTACAGATTCAGGACGTATGCAAACTTTTGTACACGACTGTGTGTGTGTGTGTGTGTGTGTGTGTGTGTGAGTTTCATATACGTCTTCATGCAAAATAAACTTTATTTTTTCTTTTGACTTTAGGATTAAATGTGACCACCATATTCAGCCCAATAATCCAGAGATGGCGTGACAGCTGACATAATCCTTGTGTAGCCAAAGACATTATTATTATTATTATTATCTATTCTATAGTCATTTTAAAGCATGTTGTAAATATCTCAACACTTACCAAATTATATAGTTCATTGCTTCCTACATCCAGTTCTTCAAGTTTCTGAAGTTGAGACAGAGACCTGATTGAAACAAAATGGAGTAAACATTCATTTGCTTTTGACTTATGCACACGCACACACACACAAAAACACACACACACACACAGCATTGTGAGGTGTGCACTTACTCTGGTAAATATGTCAGCAAGTTCTCTCTGAGTTCCAGTGATACCAAGTTACAGAGGCTAGATGAAAACAAACAAACATTGCATAATTATTAAGTGTATGTATAAACGTTAAATTTAAAGCCACAAATAGGACGAATGATGCTTTTTCCCATGTTCATCTCTCTTTAGTGTGTAATGTTGCTGTTTGATCATGAAAAATCTCCAGTTATTCTCTATATGAGTGTCAGTGTTTCTGAACTCATTGTAGTCTTGAGTTTCTTCCGGGAACGAACACGTCACAATATTCCTCATTATAATAATTCATACGCAGAATAAAGGGGCGGGGCCTGGTTGAGTTAGCTAGTAGTGTGTAAAACTGGTGGTTATGGAAAGGGGCGGGACATTTCCCAAACACACTCAAAGAGCTTAACCAATCATAACACACTGCTCCAGCCGGCCAATCAGAGCACAGTGTGCTTTTCAGAAGGAGGGGCTTCATAGAGACAGGAAGTAAACAGAGCGTTACTGACAGACTGGGAAGAGAGGAGCCGCAACAATGGAGAATATGAGGGAAATAATCAACATTCAAGCAGGAAAACCTGTTCTAGTAGAGAAACAACATCAAGACTGTAAAAGGACAGAATGGTTCCTCTAGTGCTCTTCGCGTATTGGTCAAAAAAGTACAAATTATTATTTTAATGAAATGTGTGTACTGTATTTTAGTTTGATAATGTTTCTTATTTAATATTTTGTATTTTTAGGGGATTTTATGGTACTAAATTATATTTACGCTGTATTTATAATCCATTTATTCACTTTCTGAGCACAGAATAAAATTTCCAAATTAAACTGTGGTAAATCTTGAACGCTTTAGAGATCGCTTTAGTTAGATATCTTTTCAAAGACGACACTAAAGGAGTGTGTGTTAGGAGTGTAAAGGATTGTGTGTTACGAGTGTAAAGGAGTGTGTGTTACGAGTGTAAAGGAGTGCGTGTTAGGACTGTGTGTTAGGAGTGTAAAGGAGTGTGAGTTACAAGTGTAAAGGAGTGTGTGTTACGAGTGTAAAGGAGTGTGTGTTAGGAGTGTAAAGGAGTGTGAGTTACAAGTGTAAAGGAGTGTGTGTTACAAGTGTAAAGGAGTGTGTGTTACAAGTGTAAAGGAGTGTGTGTTAGGAGTGTAAAGGAGTGTGAGTTACAAGTGTAAAGGAGTGTGTGTTATAAGTGTAAAGGAGTGTGTGTTACAAGTGTAAAGGAGTGTGAGTTACAAGTGTAAAGGAGTGTGTGTTACAAGTGTAAAGGAGTGTGTGTTAGGAGTGTGTGTTACAAGTGTAAAAGAGTGTGTGTTAGGAGTGTGTGTTACAAGTGTAAAGGAGTGTGTGTTAGGAGTGTAAAGGAGTGTGAGTTACAAGTGTAAAGGAGTGTGTGTTAGGAGTGTAAAGGAGTGTAAAGGAGTGTGAGTTACAAGTGTAAAGGAGTGTGTGTTAGGAGTGTAAAGGAGTGTGAGTTACAAGTGTAAAGGAGTGTGTGTTACGAGTGTAAAGGAGTGTGTGTTAGGAGTGTAAAGGAGTGTGAGTTACAAGTGTAAAGGAGTGTGTGTTAGGAGTGTAAAGGAGTGTGAGTTACAAGTGTAAAGGAGTGTGTGTTACAAGTGTAAAGGAGTGTGTGTTACAAGTGTAAAGGAGTGTGTGTTAGGAGTGTAAAGGAGTGTGAGTTACAAGTGTAAAGGAGTGTGTGTTATAAGTGTAAAGGAGTGTGTGTTACAAGTGTAAAGGAGTGTGAGTTACAAGTGTAAAGGAGTGTGTGTTACAAGTGTAAAGGAGTGTGTGTTAGGAGTGTGTGTTACAAGTGTAAAAGAGTGTGTGTTAGGAGTGTGTGTTACAAGTGTAAAGGAGTGTGTGTTAGGAGTGTAAAGGAGTGTGAGTTACAAGTGTAAAGGAGTGTGTGTTAGGAGTGTAAAGGAGTGTAAAGGAGTGTGAGTTACAAGTGTAAAGGAGTGTGTGTTAGGAGTGTAAAGGAGTGTGAGTTACAAGTGTAAAGGAGTGTGTGTTACGAGTGTAAAGGAGTGTGTGTTAGGAGTGTAAAGGAGTGTGAGTTACAAGTGTAAAGGAGTGTGTGTTAGGAGTGTAAAGGAGTGTGAGTTACAAGTGTAAAGGAGTGTGTGTTACAAGTGTAAAGGAGTGTGTGTTACAAGTGTAAAGGAGTGTGTGTTAGGAGTGTAAAGGAGTGTGAGTTACAAGTGTAAAGGAGTGTGTGTTATAAGTGTAAAGGAGTGTGTGTTATAAGTGTAAAGGAGTGTGTGTTACAAGTGTAAAGGAGTGTGAGTTACAAGTGTAAAGGAGTGTGTGTTACAAGTGTAAAGGAGTGTGTGTTAGGAGTGTGTGTTACAAGTGTAAAGGAGTGTGTGTTAGGAGTGTGTGTTACAAGTGTAAAGGAGTGTGTGTTAGGAGTGTAAAGGAGTGTGAGTTACAAGTGTAAAGGAGTGTGTGTTAGGAGTGTAAAGGAGTGTGAGTTACAAGTGTAAAGGAGTGTGTGTTACGAGTGTAAAGGAGTGTGTGTTAGGAGTGTAAAGGAGTGTGAGTTACAAGTGTAAAGGAGTGTGTGTTACAAGTGTAAAGGAGTGTGTGTTACAAGTGTAAAGGAGTGTGTGTTAGGAGTGTAAAGGAGTGTGAGTTACAAGTGTAAAGGAGTGTGTGTTATAAGTGTAAAGGAGTGTGTGTTACAAGTGTAAAGGAGTGTGAGTTACAAGTGTAAAGGAGTGTGTGTTACAAGTGTAAAGGAGTGTGTGTTAGGAGTGTGTGTTACAAGTGTAAAAGAGTGTGTGTTAGGAGTGTGTGTTACAAGTGTAAAGGAGTGTGTGTTAGGAGTGTAAAGGAGTGTGAGTTACAAGTGTAAAGGAGTGTGTGTTAGGAGTGTAAAGGAGTGTAAAGGAGTGTGAGTTACAAGTGTAAAGGAGTGTGTGTTAGGAGTGTAAAGGAGTGTGAGTTACAAGTGTAAAGGAGTGTGTGTTACGAGTGTAAAGGAGTGTGTGTTAGGAGTGTAAAGGAGTGTGAGTTACAAGTGTAAAGGAGTGTGTGTTACAAGTGTAAAGGAGTGTGTGTTACAAGTGTAAAGGAGTGTGTGTTAGGAGTGTAAAGGAGTGTGAGTTACAAGTGTAAAGGAGTGTGTGTTATAAGTGTAAAGGAGTGTGTGTTACAAGTGTAAAGGAGTGTGAGTTACAAGTGTAAAGGAGTGTGTGTTACAAGTGTAAAGGAGTGTGTGTTAGGAGTGTGTGTTACAAGTGTAAAGGAGTGTGTGTTAGGAGTGTGTGTTACAAGTGTAAAGGAGTGTGTGTTAGGAGAGTGTGTCAGGAGTGTAAAGGAGTGTGTGTTAGGAGAGTGTGTTAGGAGTATAAAGGAGTGTGTGTTAGGAGAGTGTGTTAGGAGTGTAAAGGAGTGTGTGTTAGGAGAGTGTGTTAGGAGTGTAAAGGAGTGTGTGTTAGGAGAGTGTGTTAGGAGTGTAAAGGAGTGTGTGTTAGTAGAGTGTGTTAGGAGTGTAAAGGAGTGTGTGTTACGAGTGTGTGTTAAGAGTGTAAAGGAGTGTGTTGCAGTTTTTAGAACTAATGAGTGAAATAAATCAGCGGCTGAGCTCATGGGTGGAATAAACATATGGCAGGACTTGTACTTTCTGACCCCTGGACTTTACACCTCTGATGAGCGCCCACCTTCACATACACACTTTAGTCTTCAAATCACTTGTTGTGCTTTTCTTTGTATCTTAGAGCAAAGCATCACCAACACAGGCCTACTTATTCATAATCTTCTGTTCAAAAATAAGATCCACTGGGATACGGTTCATCTATCAGGGGCGAGGCGTTGAGGGAAGTACACACACACACACACACACACACATCCTGAGATGGCAATCTGCTAGTGTGTCGTCAGCGTGACCCACACACAGTCCAGTTGGTTTATTCCATCGCTTCCCGGGGGATTTCTGCCATTTAAAACAATAACTACTCCAAATTAAGCACCAGTCAACGGGAGGGCGAGCGGACTTCCCCGTTCAACCCGAACACAAGCCAGACACTCAGAGATAAAACACTCGCATTTCTAGGAAAACAAACTTTCAGGGTTAAAGGTTTTCATTTTCCAGTGGACTGATCCAAAAACAAATGAAAAAAGTAAGAGGGAAGTGTGTCGTTGACCTCTTCGGTCGGTCAGCTTGATTTAGAGGACGGGAAACGCTGTTATTTCTCACTATAACTATACGGAAATTTAATCAACCGGCAGAAGGGCCGAGGGTTCAGCACGCTTTCAGACGTCTGCAGCTCAAGGCTACACTCACACACAGACACACACACACACTAATCAGGTCTGTCTCCTGAAATGAAAACGGAGAGAATGAAAGAGGATTATTGGTCGAGGCTGTAGCGAATGGGATATTTCAATTCCACAAACCAAAGCCTTAGAAAACCGCAGTAATAATAACTGTCTGCCATCATTGAGATGTAGCATTGATGCACATTAGTGTTTCTGTCGTCTCTTCGGTTGATACAGTTGTGTGATGTGTGTGTTCACTGAGAGATTAAAGATCATAAGGCAGTATTAAGCACTCTGGGATTGATATCTATACAAATCTGGAGTCGTTCTGCCTCTTCTCTCTCCATAAAGCCAGATTAAACCATCGACAAGAAAAGGAAACCTCTTTTATTCCTCTTTCAGGCATTATGATTGTGTTTAAGGTTATGGTTTAGATGGTGCTTTGACTAAAACTGGCATTTTTGTGTTTGTATACATAAATATATAAAAGGCAGGCAGAAAATCGTCCCAAATTTTCATAAGCCCATACATTTTTACTTTAGGTTACAGTACTACAACTACTACTAATCATGTTTGGGGGGGGGCATGTTTTTTGGCATTGCAGTAATAAGAAATTGGATTGTTGTTATGGTTATGAGAAATTGTCATGAAAATGACACAATCCGAAAAAAAATCTGATCATTTTCTTTACATTTTGGATGAGATTGTTGTTATCATGGTTATTAAAATTTTGTCATGAAAATGACACTCTATCCAGTTTTATTTATATATTTTTTGTAAT